GAAATGTGGGCCGAACCCAGAAATGTGGGCCGAACCCAGAAATGTGGACCAAACCCAGAAATGTGGGCCGGTGTTGTGCCAAAAATAAATTGGCTGCCAAATGGTGGCCGTGGGAGCGTGCATGGGAGGACTTCAACAAGAATTTAACAAGATTAACACTTAAAAACATTTATTTGTTTGCTCAAAATTATAGCAAAGGTGTGTCTCAGTCTAACTTTAGCTTAATAAATGCACTTTGACGGTCAAATCAGCTGCATTTTCAAACGTTGATACGCGGAAACATGAGAACGCAAAGGGCGACTCGGTCCATTTCTTCGAAAGTTAACAAGATAACCACCTAAAACAATTATTAGCAATTAGCACAATGAAGCTGATTCGGTTGCTCCAGGCAGACGACAGTGGCAGGCTATGGCAAGCAGACTGTGTACCTATTACAAAGAGAGAATCGAGGGGCTGCAGGAAAGAGTCAGTGAGCTTGAAGAGGAAAACAAACAGCTGAAGGAGTCTGTGATGGAACAAGCTCGATACAAAAGGAGATGGAATTCGAGACTGAATGGCCGTACGGAAAAAGAGGGGGAAGATACCAGAGAGGAGGTCATTGGCATTTTGACGAGTGGTGCCCATCTCAGTGGATCAGCTTCGTGGGACAGTCGACACCGTACATCGCCTGGGAAGGAAGAGTGACCCCGCCACTTCAAACAACGCTCCGCGGTCAATAATAATCCAGTTCGTGGCAAGAACGGTTCAAGACGAGGTTTGGAAGAGATCCAAGGATGCCAGGGTCCGTCAGGAGAAGCGTATCCAGTTTAAAGAAGATTTCTCCAAAGAGGACAGGGAAGCTCGCAAGAAGTTGTGGCCGCTGGTACGAGATGCCAGACAGCGAGGGCAGAGAGCTTTCCTGAAGGAAGGATACGCTCTGATCAACAACCGGAGAGTCGACCCTTCATAGACACTCACTGAGCTTTTCACTCTGGATTTTATTCAGAGTGTTATTACTGATAAATTATCTCAATAATAGATGGTGTTTCACCTGATATGTCCTAAAAGTCAAATGCACCTTGTTATGATAGTAGATGGGACAAGATTTCTCATTCCTGCACATCTTATGATTCTGTGTTCTACCTCAAAAGTTTTTAGGTATATTATCTTTTATTTCTTTAAATGCTAGGGGGCTTAAAAACAATGTGAAACGAAAAACTGTTTTTCTTTTTTGTAAGCAGCAAAAAAGCTAATTGTGTTTTCCTACAAGAAACTCACTCTTGTGAAGATGATGTGAACTTTTGGAAGTTACAGTGGGGTGATTCTATTTTTGTCAGTCACGGGACGCCACACTCAGCGGGTGTTATGATTCTGTTTAACAGATTTCCAGGCAAAATTTTACATCATACTAGTGACACAAACGGGCACTGGCTGATGGTGATAACAGAAATTAATGATGAAAACTTTATTTTGGTGTGTGTTTATGGTTACAATGAAAGAGGCAAAAACAAAACTCTGATATCTGACTTATGTCAACATATTACAGATAGTATGCATTCTTACTCAACAGATAAAGTTATAGTTGGGGGTGATTTTAATTTGGTGCCCGATCCATGGTTAGACAGAAATCCACCTCAGGTCCACCGTCATAAATACGATGACCTGATTGTTCAATTAATGAATAGTGCAAATTTGATTGATTATTGGAGAGTTAAACATCCTGGGACTTGTCAGTTTTCCTGGTTTAATGCCTCTGGGGATGGTCTAGAATCGATTACTGGCTCATTTCTACTTCTTTGATAAATCATATTAATAAGTGTGAGATATCTGCTGCACCTTTAACTGATCATTGTGTTATTTCTCCATCTCTTCTATTTTCAAAGTCAGATCCAGGTCTAACTCGTGTTTGGAAATTCAATAATACTCTTTTGCAGAGTTCTGTTTTTGGTGAAGATGTCAGACAGCTGGTGGTGGAGGTCAATGCCTTGGAAGTGTCAGCTGTGAGTAAATGGGAATGGTTTAAATTTAAAATAAGGGAGCTGGCTATTGATACAAGTAAAAAACTGTCTAAACTGAAACAACAACAACAACTTAATATCATTACAAATATTAATAGTGTTAGTAAAAAGACGGATCTGTCACCTGAAGAACTTGTTGAACTAAATAAATTACAGAGTGAACTAGATAAATTATATGAAGAAAAAGCTAAAGGTGCTTTTATACGTTCTCGAGCTCGCTGGATTGAAGAAGGGGAGAAAAATACATCTTATTTTTTCAACCTGGAAAAACATAAGCAACTAAAAAAGAAGATCACTAAATTGAATATAAATGGATCTATTTCTGAAGATGAAACTCAGATTAATAGAGAATTACACAATTTTTACAGTAACTTATACAAATCCAACTACTCTGAGACAAACTGTTCAACATTTATAAACACCATAAGAGAATTCAATAAAGTAATTGATCTGGATTTTAAACAATTTATGGAAAAACAAATTGAACTTGAGGAGTTGGATAAGGTTATTTTGAAGAGGTCTACTGAGAAGTCGCCTGGCTTGGACGGGCTAACAACTGAATTTTATAGATTCTTTTGGAAAGAGATTAGAGCGATGCTTTATAAAGCTTTCTTAGACTGTATCTCATCAGGTAACCTCTCTAATACTATGAAACAAGGGATAATCACCTTAATCCCAAAACCTAATAAAGATGTGCAAATGCTGGATAACTGGAGACCCATCACTCTGCTGTGCACAGATTATAAAATTTTAGCTCATGTTTATGCTGATCGGCTGAACAGAGGACTTAAAGATATAATTGATGAAAGTCAATCAGAGAGAAATATACACAATCATATTAGACTGGTCCTTGATATGTTGGATTATTGTGACTGCCTTGATAATGATAGTCTGATCTTGTTTCTTGATTTTTTACAAGGCATTCGACACAATTGAACACGCTTTTTTGTTAGAGACTTTAAGGTTTTGGTGATTCATTTTGTGGATTAATTAGGATGTTTTATAATGATATCTATAGCTCAGTCTCTTTAAATCCAGGACTTCTAGATTTAAGATGCAGCGAGGCATTCGTCAGGGTTGTCCTATCTCCTCAAAATTGTTTATCTTGACTACTCAATTACTAGCTCTTCAAATTAATAGCAATCCTGAGTTAAAGGGAATTAACGTTTTTGATAGAGAATACAAGATTAGTCAATTTGCCGATGACACAGCATTGTTTTTAAAAAATGATTTAATGGTTGAAAGAGCCCTTAATACAATTTCATTATTCTCTAAGGCTTCAGGTCTAGGACTTAACATTAACAAATGTGAGATCCTTCCCATTCATAACTGTATTCATAAAAACATCCAGTCAATCAGAGTCGTACATGAAGTTAAATATTTGGGTGTAACATCTCAAACCGCTTAGTGGATATGAAACAAAGTCTCAGCCGTTGGTTGACAAGAGATCTGACTATTTTTGGAAGGAACCTGTTGACTAAAGCAGATGGCATTTCCAAGACTGTTTATCCACATCATTCTATGTATATATCACCACAAAACAGAAGAAAAGCCAACTCCATTATCTTCCAGTTTTTGTGGAAAAATAAGACTCATTATGTTAAAAGGTCCCAACTAGTTAAAAAACATGAGAATGGTGGTATTAATGCACTAGACTTTGAAGCAATGGTTGGTACATTTAGGACTAAATGGTTAAAAACCTTTTTACAACAACAAAATTCAATGTGGTTGTTCACATCCCTGCCTCCATTTTTAAGCAGCTGGGAGGAATTGACTTCCTTGCAAGGTGTGACTTTGAAGTGATGAAGATTCCAGTTAAATTATCAAACTTCCACAAACAAGTTCTTCAGTTCTGGAAAATGATATTTCACCATAATTTCTCACCTCATGGATCAACTTTGTGGAATAATAGAGCAATCACAGTGGGCAGAAAGTCAATATTTAGAAAAGACTGGTATGAAAAAGGCATCATTTTTGTAAAAGATATCTTGGATTGTAATGGAGACCTTTTAAATTTCTCATCTTTTGTTAGAAAATATAACCTTAGCTGCTGCCATAAAGATTTTATGAAGGTATGTAAAGCAATCCCTTTAGCCTTGATTCAGTTAGTTAAAAATATCATTATGTATTCAAAGGTGACCGTTTCGATGCCCACATTAAAACTAAATGATTGTAGTTTAGTTGATCTCAAATGTAATAAGATTATCAATGAATGCATGCGACAAAGGATTTACTATGATTATAACAAAGATTCATTCAAGAAACCTCCCAATATAAATCATAAAACCATAATGACTTCTACTTATTCGAAATTTGTCAAATGGCCTATATCTCCTAAAGTGAAAGAAAACCATTTTAAAATAATAAATAAGATCTATCCAGTAGCCATGCTTCTGCACAGAAGATTTAAATTTGAGGTGGATTTGTGTACCTTCTGTAAATCTGAAGATGAATCCCTTGAACATTTGTTTTTTTCATGTTAATACAAAGTTTCTGGACTGACATTACAAACTGGATTAATCTAAAACTTAGCATTCCTTCTTTTGATGCTGATGCCATTTTATTTCATATGGATAATTTAAGCTCAGCTTACTCTGATGCCATAAATATAGTCATACTTATAGCAAAGTACCACATTCACTGTAGTAAGTGGAGGGATAGTAAGCCTTCCTTCCCGTGTATTATGAACGAATTCAAGTCGTACTATTCTTCATCAAGTAGATTAAAAAACTGGAAAACTGCTAGAACCATTTCGCAACAGATATCTAAGAACTTGTTGTTTTAAGTTTCTCATATTGTCTTGCTCCTTTTAGTTTTCTTTCCCATATATTGCGTTTATTATATATGTATTTTTCAACTTTCATCATTTTGTAAACCCTCCCCCCAGCTTGTAAACTGACACCCTTCATGAGAGTTTGTGTATGTCTTTCTATTTTGTAGTGTTCTGTAGTTCTGTGTTTATTAATAAAAATTTTTTTTTACCTATTACATGACACAATGGCATGCTATACAGCTTGTTGCCATCTAGCGGCTGAAAATGGTAGTGTTCAATAATTTCAGTCAGAATGAATGAAAACGATCAAATCTCAGGCAAAAATTTGTTTATAAATATGAGAAAAAAATCCATAAATACGTCGCTTTGGTTCCAAGTTGCAGGGCATGTAAATTATGCAAAAAAACTGACTTATACAGTGAAAAATACGGAACTTTATTATGATACAAACTTATAGCCGATCATGTGACCACTAGTATTTACATTTTCATATTGCTGTCAGTTTTCCATTACATGGCAATTTACATAGGACTCGGTGATTATTTGCAAGTGCAAATAGAAACCGTAGCAGCTAGCTGTAGTCTTTGCACGTACTGTGGGGCATAAAGATATGATGATAAGTCTGCCACAATGATGTGCAACTGAAAGGGATGTAGAGGTTTATTAAACAGCATCTGCATGAAGTGCTGTGAAACTTTTGTGAGTTGTTTTCAGACAGCAGCAGTCTGCCCTGCTCAGCTCATCACTCTGGTCTAAATTAAACTTGTTCTCTGGACTGAATTGATTTTATTTACAGAAGAAAAGACATTAGTTGCTTAAAACTTTTCCACACAACCTCACTTTCAAAGATATAAACTGCAGGTTTAATCCTAATGAGGAAAAAGATGAGGGTTTTAATCTGTAATGGATTTATCAACAAAAAATATATATGATAAACGCAATATAAATAAATGTTACTTACGGTTCTCCTCCTCCGTGAAGTGCATCCTGTACTAATCGCTGTGTTGGGGAGATAAAAAGAGACGGGAATGAATGAAAATCTGCTCTTTGCTGCAGCTTCGAGTCTCATTGGAACATCTCTGTGCTGTTATTTAAATTAAAACATATTTTTCATGTGTTGCTTCCTGCACAGAAACAAAGTGTTGCAGGAGTACAGTTGAGTGAAGTCATGGCCCCCTACCCTTCGACCTCTGCTAGGTGACAAATAAGACCGCCGGGACAAGATGGGGCTACGAGGAGGTTTACCGCCAAAAACTGGATCCTGCTCAACAGCCACAAAGACCAGAGGCAACACACCAATAATCTTTAACAGACAGCAACGTTGACGCTGAGCTGAACACGTAAGCAGACGAACTCCTGACATGCTGTGAAAATGATCAGTCAACATGCTGATCCTTCTGATCAAACCACAAGACAACCAAGAATCAACTCACACTTTCCTTTTAAAGAGCATTTAGAATGTTCTCTGCACTCCATATATCATTTTGATGCTTACATGTTATGATAAAATGCAAGTTAGTCGTTATTGTCTGAAGTCGCAACAAATCCAGACATTTTTAAAGAGTCCAAAAAACAGCCCCAAACTTTATTGTTAACATTCTAACGAACAAACTTTTAAAATCATTCAGACATTTTTACCAAATCGGTGAAGTAAATCACAGATCTGAGGTAAAAATATTCTGCTTTAATCAACCAATCAGCTCTTTTTGCAACAAAAAGCAGAGAAGTCCAGAGAATAAATACAGTTAGGCGAGTCTGCATCACATTCTCCATCACCACATTCCAGCTTTACCTTCACCTTAGGGGACCTACATCCTGGATGTGATACAGTGTGAGCAGAAGTGGGAGAGCGTGGAGAGGAGAGGGGAGGGGAGGCAGTCTTAGGGGGAGACGAAGCAGGAGGAGCGATGAGTGGATCTGAGACGGGGCAGGACGTAGGCAGACGAGACAGACAGGGAGCCGAGTTCAAGGAGCGCGAGACGGAGGACTGTGAGAGAATGTCCGAGGAGGAGATGGAGGGAGGAGAGGAGACAGACGGACAGGGAGACGCTGCAGGAAGTGGAGATGCTGCGAACCGAGGGAGGGAGGGGGGGCGAGGGGAGGCGGGAGGACAGATGGGGATCATGCTGTGGTTATGCTGTGGCGACCGGGGGAAAGCAGATGATGATGATGGAGAAGGGGGAGGAAGAACAGAGGTGACAGGTGGCTGTGTGGATGTTGAGATTAGACCAGAGTGAGAGAACTGTGTTACAGAAGAGGACGACACTTCAGCCTGAGGAAGTAAAAAAACAACATTTGATGATCGTGAAGCCAGGACTGATGATGATGATGATGATAAGGCCTCAGAAGGAATGTGGAGGAAGAAAAGGCGGGAAAAAAAAAAAAGAGAAATAAAAAACTTCCTAATATCTAAAGAAACGTCATCATTCATACAGTGTAGGAAAAACTACACAGAATAATTACAAAAAACTATTTATATCACTGTATGTTGGTTATATTGAAATAAATTTTTTAGTTTTGCATATAGAATGCATAAAAGTAAAATAATATGAAATATTTTTAATTAATATATACATATATTACAAATAATGCTTCTAAATGACAATAAGAGTAGAAAAAATATCTCAATTCAACTAAAGAAAAGGCTCGTGTACAAACTGTGGTTGATTAGTAAATAGTATTAGGTATCTTAGAAAAATCGTAAACAGTAGGAATTAATTTTGGGTGATAACAATTCAGTCTTCTATCTAGAGATATTTCATGCGAGTCAAATGTCCGTTATAAAAATGTTTTAATCTACATCACTTCATGTGTGCCGTTGTGAAAATTGGTCAATAATAAGATAATCTGGTCGGCTTTTGTTCCCACTGCACATCTGTGTAGCTCCTTTATGTTTTTGTTTACTTATAATTTCCAGATTAACTGGTCAGTGAGAAAACAAAACAAAAATTCTCCTCAATATTCCTTCTGGGACTTTTCTAAATGTTCAAACTCAACACCATGCTCTACCTGCGGACTGAGTCTCTCATTTAAAACTCTTGTATCCTCCTCTTTGTCCTTTAGCTCTTCTTCCTCTTCCTCGATGAACAACTCTGTGTATCCCACTTCTTCTACAGAGGGTAGCCTCTGAGCATCAGCATCTTTATTCAAAGATGGCTCTCCCCACAAAACAGGCTGTGGCTTCACTGTTAGAGGTTTGTGAAACTGCACCTTTAATCGAACGCTGCCAGGTGAGTCATTAACTTCAGCTACTGTGGGCTTCTCTGCTGGTTGATGGGACTGTTGGTCTTTGTTCTGGTACCATTTGCTTTGAGATTCAGTGAGCTTGTCAGGTGGGGAATCTAACGAAAGTACTTTTGAAATGTCAACGTCTGCTCTGCTGGAACCACCCAGAACCATAAACAGATCGTCATATGGGTCTTTTACAAACAGTTCTATGTCAGGCATTGTGCTGCTTTTGTTTTCACAAGTATCTGAGTTATGTTGCTCTGGACAGTGTGTGGATGACTGCGCTGCTGCTGAGAACATTTTTGGCTTCTTGAATCCAAATCGGGCTGCTTCAGCAATATGTGACCCCCTGTCACTGTTACATTGAAGTGAAGCATCAGGCAGTGAGAAGGTGAATGAAGAATGATGGGCGGGTGGGGGAAGAGGAGGAGGTGGTGGTGGAGTAGGTTGTGAAAAAGTAAGCACAGCATGGGTGGGGTGTAAACCGGCTCGTCTCTCAGTGAAAGGTGCCGTTCTGGAAGACGCCTGACAGGAAGGGGTGAAGCCTTTTTGTGACGGAGCTGGCGAGCTTGGTGTTGGCTCTCGAGCCGTGAGGAAAGAGGAAAGATCAGTGGGGAGAGGGGGAGGTGTAGGTGGTACAGGGGTGGTGGTGACAGAGCGAGTGGGAGTGGATGCTGATGGATCCATGGTGAGCGACAGCCACTCGTTGGTGACAGCGTGAAGGTCAGGTCTCCTCAGAGACGGGTGAGGGGAAGGAAGGTCACGAGGGATGTGAGATGGGGGCAGGTGATAGACCGGCTCCAAGGAAGTAAAGTGAGAGACAAGTAACAGAAGGTGATAAATACAACCAGAACCAAAGAGTCAGAGTGTTGTAAGTGCATGAACTGGTCAGGGGGGGTTGATAGGTAGAAAATTATAAAAAAGCTAAAAGCTCTTTGTGGTTTAAGATTCAAAAACATTTTAGATCTTACATGTGACGGGCTAACAAACACTTCAGTTGAGCTTGAAGGGTGATGTGTTCTTGACTTTCTTACCTTGACTGATGTGGAGCTTGGGGTCCTGTTGCTATGGTAACCAAGAGGATCTATATGGTGGGTGGAGCTCTTGGACGGCGAGTGCTTGACAATGTCAACGTAGGACACGGGAAAGATGCCCTGTTTAGTTGTGCCGGGGATCTTCCCCTCATACCAGTTCTGATCCACCTGCCTCAACACGATCACTCTCTCGCCCTGCACACACCCAACCCCCACCCAACAGCAAGGCACTTTGAGCTTCAGCACACGGCTGTCGTGATAAACAAATACTAACAGCCCATAAAGGCTTGGTGAATTACTGTCTTTAAAATGTTGCTGTTCCATTTTTTGATGACTAAATAAATAAACATAAAAAATAAAAAAAATACAGAAGTTTTATTTTTAAAACATATTCAACCATGAACTGGCAACCTTTCTTAGTGACAGCTCCACAGTGGTGTCAGCATTGAAGTTGAAGCGTGCCACTGCCTCTCCGATTTCTCGGACATGTGCTGGTGGAGGAGGACGAATCGGCTGTTGCTTTTCTGAAGATGGTATCTTCTGGATGAGCAGCACATAAATGACAGTTAGGAAAGAGGATTTGCACAACTGAACTGAACAGTGCAACAAGAAGGTGAACATACTCATGGCGCGTGTAATAAAACCTTCAAAAAACCAGAGAGAAGCACGTTTACCTCTACGTACGCTATAGGGAATATCCCCACCCGTCCTCTGTGCTCTCCTTCATACCAGTTGTTATCTATTTGCCTGATGATGTTCACCTCATCGCCCTTTTTAAATGTCAACTCCCTGCAACAGACGTGTCACAGTGGTGTATTTCAAATCCAGCATAGTCACAAAAACAAAAAATGAAAACCACTCGGGCAGTTGTTCTAATATGTAGGAATCAGTAAAAAGCAAGCACAAAAGTAAAAATGAGCTGTGCCACTTTCTTAATACAAACATTTAAAGACTTGAAAAAGAAATGATTTAACGCCAACCACAGTGGTGAGTTAGAATGACATGGTTGTTTAAAATAATGCATATTACCTGCAAAATTAAAGTGTTTTAAAATCTGAAATAATTTTCCATGCAGTAAGGCACTGATATCTGTTAATATGTAGTTAAACAACCATGATTTTAAGCTTCTGGTTCTTGTTTGTGCATGCTAAATATATTGTACTTACTTAGTTGTTTGTGCCTTAAAATCATAAATGGCTCTTGCAGGCTGTTTCTGATAAAGGAAAAAGAACAGAGTAAGTTGTGCCATCTGTTTATGGGAGACCTGAGAGTAGTGAGAAAAAGAAAACATCAACAGGAATCACAAGGTTTGATACAACTGCCCGTTTAAATACTAAATTTTAGGGATGCACGATATAACTGGCATGGTATCGTATCGGCCGATATTAGCGATAAAGTTAAATATCGGACATCGACCATTCCATCAAAATAACTCACTGATATAAAAGGTGCTGTTTTTGTATGACAACCCAGTGACAAGGATGCCTGCAGCACCAGCACAACGTTATGACATCACGTGCGCCTACCTGGTCTGATCATGGCAGGAGAGGAAGAAGTGAAAATGTCGGCGGTGTGGAAGTTTTTTTAAAGTGTCGAAAACTGATAGTAGAACTACTATTTGCAATGACTGCTCAGAGTCAGTGATGTGAGGAGGAGCGAAAACAAAGTCGTAAAACATTTGGAACCTAATTAATCATCTCAAGAACTGTTAGAGTAAATGTCATGAATAAATTTGACATTAAATATAATCCAAGTTGAAGTGTTACATCATTTTCAGCTCCCTTTTTGGAATCTGCATTTGGTAGCAGGCCAAACTAACAAAGACCATGCAGAATAATGTAGTAGTTTAATTCCACAGCAGAGAAAGCTATGTAGTCTCTGTAAGCAGGTCTAGGGAAAAAACATCAGTGTTGGTATCAGTCAAATAAGTTGTAACATTTTGGCATATCGGTAGTCCTCTCTCAAGATAAATATTGCTGGGCAATTATTTGTCTCAGAAATTACTGCGATAAACAATAATATTGTTTGAAATTTGACAATAATTAGTAATTACTGTCAAATTTAAGAAGAAATGTTGGTAACTTGCTTTGCTTTTTGACCACCAGATGGCAGTATAAGACTGTTTGAACAGAAGGATGGATAGTGAGGGAGTGAACAGCGTGTCTCTTTAAGAAAAATGGGAGGGAGCCCCCTTGACGTGACATGGGCTGTCTCTTCTTCCTGTATTTCGGTTCTCAATATGGCGGACGCTCGGTGTAGTTTGAACGCTTTAGCATAGCATTTCTCACACAAAGCTTTTAATTTAAAAAAAAATCAGTAAACAAGTTCTCAGCTTCTTTTTGCAGAGAAAAACAACTTTTTACACGAAGGCATGGGTTTCAACTGTGAATTTTGGAGCTTCAACAAGATGGAGGTTTTCTTCCCGAGGTCGGCCTGTTAGCTTAGCTTCTCAGCTTAGCTGCTTTTAACGATCCAAAAATGCAATTTTGGATGGGTAAAGAAAAGAGAAAAAAGAGAAAGGGAGGAGTCAGTGAAGAGCACCAGAGTTGAGCCTTTTGTCATCCAGTGTCTTCAGTAGAAAGAGAGAGACATGAAGAAATGATAAAGCCGATAAATGAAAACGAGGCCAATAATTTTCATCATGCGATTAACTGATTTATTGTATATAGCGACAGGCCTACATGCAATAGCATATCAAACAAAATCCTATATCGTGCATCCCTAATACATTTGTGCCTTATTAAAGACTTGTGAATAAACTCCATTGTGCTGTGCCATTAGGAGATATTTGCCTTGTGATCACCATTCAGTCTGATAATTTTTGTGCCACACCAGTTTTATGCTGGAAACACTAGTGTTAGTTTCTGTAAAGTACCTCTCTGTCAGGAGTTGGTCTTCTGCTCTGTGGAGTGTGGCGTCCATCCATGGTGGAATAACTCCTCGACACATCCTGGTCTGTGGTTGAAAAGAGGTGGCAAGCGTTACGACATTAACAACGTTTAAATCACCTGTGATTCAAAAACGGGATCTGGGAAAGCACTGATGATGCGGAAATTATTTCAGTCCAATGGAGAAATGAGGGAATGAAAGCTTGGGTGGAAAACGGTGCATTTTATTTCCTTTTTATAGGGAAAAAATATCAAAACAAAGAGACTAAACTTATCCAAAAATGACACGGGCAAACACATGCAAAACTATAAAAAAGCTGGAAGACCAAATAAAACAAGGAAAAAACCCACAAATGGTATAAAGACTATAAATCTAACTTTAATACAAACAATGCAGCCATTAATATTCGATAAAGTAGAATGTTATTTACAAATATTTACTTCAACCCACACCTGTTTATTAGAAAAAAAAACCTTATAATTCAAATCTATTTAAATGTAACTAATATATTAATAAATACACAAAAATATAAAAAAACTACATTTTTATTAGCACAAGAAAAATCTTTTAAGTTTTTACAAATATGAAACTCTCGAGTCTCAAGAGAATATTTCCTTGCAGCATAACTTACTACAAAAACACACAATCAACACTCGTACTAATTTTAAAAGCCAAACGAGGGTTCTTTTTTTTGGCCAAACCCAACACATCTGGGTACAAACTCCTGTTCTCCAGTGTGGGAGTAAAGCCTGTTTAATCCTCATAAATCAGTAAAAAAAAAATCACGACCGCAGCTTTGCAATTTTTAAATGTTTCTTGGATATGAACTTGGTTGCAGAGAATCCCTATTTTTTAATTCAAGCTGCAATCAGACTGATTTACGATACAATCTCTAAGGTTTACTTCTCAGAACAGTTTCAGAACTAACAGATCTTCAGCTCTTGTCCAAATTGCATTTCTGTAAACAAAAACTGTTGCTTTGTCTCCACAACAACTAAAAGTGTCCAATTCAACAGTTAAATTTCACGTGGCTTTCAGCCAGATTCAGTAATTTATGTAATATTTCAAATATACCAGTAGCACACATTAACAGAGACTTTAGTTTCACTGGAGGAAACATGCTTTAGTCAAATTGTACTTGAGAATTTAATCAATTTTAAGCTCTTGATCAATGTCATACAAATAAAGAAAGCCAAATAATGATAATGGAAGTGAACAAATAAAATGACTTGGGCTACAAGTGCAGACAAAACTAAAAGACACACAGTATAAGAAAATATACACGGTTGCTTTTCTGTTTTAGAGCCCAGCTTATATCATCAACCTGTACTCGTCTTAAATATTTATAACACTAAACGACAAGCATAATCTGTAAAAAGAAATTGTTCAAAAAGCACCAATTAATTTTAAAATAGAATAATCTATATAATAGAGGACTAAATCCTAAATTTGGTCTGCTCTGAAAACAGTGAAGAACACGTGTACACATGTACAAATGTTGAAAACTGTTATTTTATTCTGATGGATGCTCAATTATAAAATGTTATTTTATTGTTAAACTGTAAACGTGTTCTCAGTCGAGCTCTAATTGAAACTATAAAGTTTGTTGTGTGCATGAGCATGTGTGTTAAACTTCTTTGATGGTGCTTTTGACAACAATATAAAGTGTTTGTGTATATTAAATATGAGGTAAGGCATGTGTGTTAGCTCCACCTGAATAACAGAGACCATTTCCATTGCCCTGCTCTTCTCCATATTCATTATTGTTTGAGGCCTCCGAATATCGTCCGTAGCAGGCACTGACTGGTGACTGTAACCGTGGTGACTGGAAGCCTGGTGTTGAGGGTTCTCTTCTATATGAAGCACAACCAGTAGGGCTTCCATCAGGGTAAACAGATGCAGAAGAATTACCTCTGTGCCAGCAACCCCTTGTCACTCGCAAAGAGGAACTTCTTTCAGGCACACTTGGCAGCAGCTCAGCCAATATTCTTCTCAAAATGCTATCATCAGGTGGTCTAGAGCTTCTGTGGCCTCTCTCTGCTTGAATGTGCTCATAAATGTCTCTCAAGGCTGCATCTAGGGCTTCATAAATGGCCTGTTTAGACTTGGGTCTGCTATCTAGACCTCCACCAGCACTGCTTCTTTTAGAGGTAGGTGATGATCCCTTTTTCCTACGAAAAGGCACTGGGCTGACCAAGAAGGCCAGCTTGGACATTGCTTGTTGGGATGGCGATGTCTGGTTTTGAGAATGGCTACTGTGACTCTGCTGTGAAGATCTCTGGTGCTCTTGTCGCGCTCGTTCTCTCTCATGGCGAAGCATGGTTGTAAAGCGGGTGTATGAGGCAGGGCAGCGGCCTTTGCAAGTGCTAATAAGGTGGCGGTGCTGGTAGCCTTGACTCTGTCCTAGACTTTGGTGGCCAGGATGGTGGTGATGATGGTGGTGGTGGTGATGACGAAGGTGGTGATGGTGGAGGGTAGAAGACCCATAAAGGCTCTCGGATGAAGTTAGTGAGCAATGGTCAAATTCACTCTCACTGCAAAATGAAGAGCCCTCCACCTGAATGAAATCACTGAGGTCGGATGCAATAGCATCCTGTTCACTGTCAGAATAGTCTGGATTGGCTTGTGGACCTAGAGGAACAGGAGGAGTGGGAAAGGACTGGCCAGGCTCTGGCCCAACACGAGGCTGGCCTTCAGGTGGACTTCGAGGTATGTGATCCATGCTTTGAGGTACAGTCCTGTTTCCATTGTTGTCTTCCTCCAACAATGATTCTACAGAAAAACGGCGTTTTGAAAAACTGGATGTCCCACCACCACCACTGCTGGCACGAGATGATGAGCCGCCTGGTGTAGTGGTGCCTGAAGGTACCTCGCCATCACCCAAGTTAGGCATGGATTTGGACTTCTGAATTAGACGCTCATATTCAGAAATACGATTTGGCACCATATCCCTTGGCACGTCCACACCCCAGGAGGGTGTCCAAGGAGAGAGACGATGGTGATGTAGATGAGGCTGGCGCTCTAGATCCAGGATCCGAGCACGGACAGAACGGATGACTTCAGATGGGATTAGATGAGCTCGATCAATCTGGTGCATCTTCCGATAAAGCTGGAGAAAGCCTGGAGAATCGTGAGCACGTCGCCGATGGAGACGAGGCAACGACTGAATGGAAGCTGAAACAGTCACAGGATTCCCATCACACACCAGCGATCCAGCACTTTCTGATCGAGTGGCATTTTGACCACCTGGGCCAGAATGCCCATCATTAAGTAAGTCATCACAACTACGTGATTTGAGCTTCTCAGAGGGTGGCACCTCCTCCGCACTGCTCCATGTCTCAGCATCTTGGCTTTTTGTCTGCCAACTGTTTGTACAACAGACAGACTGCTTCGACGAAGAGCTGCCTTCCTTGGTGGCATCCTCATGAACACGATCAAAGCCAGAAGGGATGGGAGGAAGTGAAGTACTGTCGTAACGGCCTAGGGTGGACATATTGTTTGAATAAATGTTGCATGCGTCCCCACCTTTCAGATGTCCCATAAGAGCAGCGTGGCAAGAGAGAAGGAGGAAAGCAAGTTAAGCAATAAAACCAAGCAATAGAGTGGAAGTGCTGGGGAAAGGAAAAATAAACAGGTGAGAAAAGCTTGATTAAAAAAAAATATATATTTATAGGCTAAATGGACTGTACTTGTATAGCACCTTTCTATCTTATCAAGATACTCAAAGTGCTTTACACTACAATCCATGTCCTCATTTACCCATTCATAGAGTACTCTACTTGGTTTATACAAAGCTAATCTGAATCTATGTGCTTTATCACATTCATACACTGATGGGACACACATTGGAGGGGTTCAGTGTCTTGTCCAGGGACACTTCAACATGTGACTGCTGGTGGAATCAAACCCCCAACTCTCCCATTGGAGGACAACTGCTCTAACCACTCAGCCACATTTGCCCCAATTTTTATATTTATTTTTTTTATTTAGACATCAGACAGATAAGATATTGGGAAAACACAACGAAATCTGTGAAGTTCTGGTGATAAGTACAGTATACATGTATGTCTGTGTTAAAAATATAAAGAAACTCAGAGAGAACAAAATACATCAAGTAAGAAAAATGGTTTCTGTGAGTTGGAATACCTTTGGGCCTAGAGGGTGAGGATGGTGAGGAACGAAAGACGGGTTTCTTTAGGCTGATGCTGGTTCTGTTTGAATCCACTGGTTTAGGAGAAGTTGCAGCTCTGCTCTGAGACTGAGCATTGCCTTGGGAACTCGAAGGCTCAGACTTCCGTCTTTTCCTGTAGTCGCTGGCAGCACTACAGCAAACAATATAAACATTGGTCTCAGATGTTGTCATGATACTCAATTAATAAATACAACCTAAAAAAAGCCACTTGTTTAAAACAATGACATATATTTTTTGTTTTGGAAATATGTAGTTTTCACAACTGTTTATGGACATAATGGATGTTAGAACCATCAATATTACAACAACTTTGAATATGTCTAATATGTTTTCCAGACTATTTTAATTAACATTTTATCTCTAGTGTAACCTCAACTGTTTTCAAAAACAAACCCTTTTCTTTCAGAACAAACACACTTAATGTCACTGAAATGAATTACATGGCCTTTTCATCACATCCCTATTCAGCCCTTTTTGTGCACTGAGGAAAATGCGACTGAATAAGGAGGGCAGCAGTGAAAGGAAGAGGGACCACAGGAGGGAGAGTGGGGGTTGTGGGGGAGACAGGAGGTGAATGGCAGAATCAATAGCCTTGCTGCGTTCATTTATTCTGGTTCAGGTCAAAGAGAAAAGCATCTTGACATCAATTACTAAAGCAAATACAGAGTAACGCTAATCCCAGCAAATGATCATTAACAGCATACGCCAGAAATTAGCTCCAAACACAAGGTGCACAAGAGAGTTCTGCCACAGTGCTGAATCACAACAACGAGGGATGCTGTAGAATGGCTGGGGGAGGGGGATGAGGGGGAGGTGGGGTGATGCAGTGTAAAATAAAAAAGAAACCGCAGTTACCTTGCAGGTCTGTCCAAAGTCTTGTCAGCAGGAGCAATGTGGAGGGACGTCTGAAACAGGACAGAAAACAAAAGCGAAAACTGAGCTCTGCGTGAACAAAGACTTGAGGCAGAGCAGCTTACAAAGCACCAGCTTGCAAGCGGTTTTTGCTGTGCCACAGCTAAAACACTCCCCCAGCAAAATGTGGGAGGGAGGCTGGTTCCACATGGCACACCTGACCAAGGCAGGACCTACAGATGAAGAATAATTTCAGTGTTTTGGTTTCCCTAGAGTTGTACTGAAGAATGATGGCAAAGGTGAAATAGACAAATGTACGAGCTTTTCTCAAGGGGGCAAATGTTGTGCTGCAAAACCTGGGCTGGATCACCTGGAATGGGTGTTAATGGTAAATGGACTGTACTTATTTAGCAACTTTCTATCTTATCAAGATACTCAAAGCGCTTTACACTGTGCCCTCATTTACTCATACATACAGCACTCTACTAGATCTCTACAAAGCTAATTGAACAAATCATTCTAAAGAGACTAATCAGAGCTTTATCACATTCATACACTGATGGGACACACATCAGAGGCAATGAGGGGTTCAGTGTCTTGCCCATGGACACTTCAGCATGTGACTGCTGGTGGAATCAAACCCCCAACTCTTGCATTGGAGAACGACTGTTCTTACCACTCGGCCACAGCCGCTTGGATAAAGAGTTCTCAATCATCTTAAATGGGGTGTAACAGTGGGCAGCACAGTGGTGCAGTTGGTAAAGCTGCCGCCTCTGAGTGAGAAGGTTGCTGCATTGAATCCTGGCTGGAGGGGCTTCTGTGTGGAGTTTGCATGTTCTCTCCGTGCATGCCTGGGTTTTGTACCAGTTTCCTCCCACAGACCAAAAACATGCATGTTAGGCTGATTGGTGCAACTGGTTGTGTGTCTAGTTTGTCTCTATGTGCCTCTGTGATGGACTTTTGAGCTGTGCAAGGTGAACCCGCCTCTCGCAAAATAATTGCTGGCGATAGACACCAGACAATCAGAAGATAGTCTTTCAGTCCTAAACAAACAAACAGTATTTCCAAAACAATCTCATGTATCTTTAAGGAATAGTTGGCGTGTTGCTCTGACCTCGCACTGTGTTGTTGGTAATGTTACAACCATTTTAAGCAAACATCCAAACACTACAGGAGTTGACTCGTGTTATTGGTTAGAGACCATGTGTAATCAGAAACACTTAACAGACCATGAAGTTGGGATTACCTCAATGCGCTGGCGACTTGAGATGTCTGGATTATAATCCAGCCGTTTTTTAGGAGGCTTCAGCCCCAAGCAGCAGCAGTGAGCAGGAGAGGGAGAAGAGGAGGAGGAGGAAGGTGAAGATGAGGTGAAGCAGTGGTGACATCATGGGGAAAAAACAAAACAAAAAAACGGAAGCATGTGGAGAGAGTGACACCTGTTAGAGAATCTGAGTAACCAAAGATGGACAAAATCAAAACTGCACTGTCACGCTGGACAAATGTGCATTCACTAGATACGCACCAGCACACATTTACAAGCTAAGATCTACGCATACACTACTTATCAGCTGTTTAAAGTAAAAACAAAAAGCACGTATACGTGATAAAATTAAACAAACTAGAAGCTGCAAAACCTAAAATAAAATAGGTACAATACTTTGACCTTTCTACTTAAACACACACACACACGTACATCCAAGTGCCACGAACATGCAGAGTGTAAGAAGCAGCTGTATGCGGAGAGCCAAGTGAAGTACAACCTGCAGTGTTTATATGAGAATGCATTAAGATGTTAAATGTTCAGTGCCCTGAGATGACTTCTGTTGTGACTCGGTGCTATATAAATAAACTGAATTGAATTAAATCCAACATTTTACCAATGCTCATGAACAAATAGTTGAAAAATACTGTTATTGTGATGCCAAAATCTTTTCGAGAATCACTCAAAGCATGTATGAAACCATCATCCCTAAGGGCTTATTGAATTACGTAAAGCATTTCAGGTAGAAATCTTCATACACAGCTGAACAAGTGGCTTTGAGAACACAAGCGTACAGTGCCAGGTCCTTGTGTGAAACTTTAACCTGAACATTTCAAGACCAACATCACCTGCTGCCATGCACTGGAGGCATGTTGGAGACAGAGGTATGTCCTTGTGACTCGATAAATCAGTCAGTTCGAGGTAATTTAATCTCACTTACAGTATGTAGCTAAACAACCGTCTGCACCCCAAAAGTCCAGCAGAGGGCACTACAGTATATAACTTAAACTGAGTATTTCTTACTATTAACAAATGTCAAAAGAAAAATACTAGCAGGCATAAATACATATTCAAACAAGTTAAACAAAACGTAGGGGAACAAGTACATGTATCAAAGTAGTTAAAAAATCAACACAAACAACAATAGTATGATGAAGAGCAAAGAATATTCTATCAGTGAAAAATTAATCTGCATTTGGATCACAACTGAGGATTTCCTTTAGTTGGCAGAATGACTGACTTGTGCAGTTTGACAGATTGGAGGCAGCTTTATCTTAAACATGCACAAGCATTGGTTTTTAAACAGCCTCTTCATGTTTAATGAAGATGATGCAGTAGTTTAAATTAAGAGACGTTTCCAGGCTTTTTAGGGGATCTTTTAGTGCCTGCTAGTAGCTGGACAAAGAACGTAATAAACAAATAAATAAATAGAAACAAACAGGCATATCTCTGCCTGCCACCCTGGTGTGTGTGTGTGTGTGTTCGTGCGTGCGCGGGGGGAGGGAATCACTGCACCAAACAAGTACCACATGCCCAAACAACTAGCCCAACCAGTCTAATAGTGGATGCATATCAAAAAGCATCAAGTGTGGGTGGAGACAGTGGGTGTATGTCTATAGCAAAGTTGTGGTTGGGGAAGTCGCTGAGCCCTGACTTACCGGACGCCCAAACTCCAGCTCGGAAAAGAACTTATACCAAGGCTCGTTCTCTAAATCTATGTCATCATTGGTCTGGGAAAGCATGATAGAGACAGAAGGCAACAGAAAGAAAGAAGAAATGAAGTGTGGAGTGTGAGGGGAGGGAGTTATACACGAACAGAGACATGGACCTCATGGTTAGGAATGGGCAAAGAAAAACTGGCGTAGGGTGAACCAGGATGAAGATGTAGACTGGCTCAGGTGAACTTTTGTGAACTCAGGTGAACTTTTCAGGTCGACTTTGTTTAAAAAGTCTTCAGTTGATTCAAAATGGTGCAGCCAGAGTCTTAACTGGAGTTAGTAGGAGAGATCATATTTCTCCAGTTTTAGCTTCTCTCCATTGGCTCCCTGTTAAATTCAGAATAGAATTCAAAATCTTACTTCTAACCTACAAAGCTCTCAACAACCTAGCTCCTTCTTATTTTACAGATCTTATTGTTCCATATTTTCCTAACAGAGCACTTTGCTCTCAGACTGCAGGTTTACTTGTGGTTCCTAGAGTTTCCAAAAGCAGAATGGGAGGAAGATCTTTCAGTTATCAGGCTCCTCTCTTGTGGAACCAACTTCCAGTTTCTGTCCGTGAGGCTGACACATTGTCCAGTTTAAAGACTGGGCTTAACACTTTTCTTTTTTATAAATTTTATAGTTGGAAACGGCTTATTATGCTACCATAGGCTTAGACTACTAGAGAACAAATTGACAATTTCCTTAAATTAATTGCTAAAATTAAATAGTTTTCATTTGATATTATTTCTATCTTAACATGATTCTCGACCTGCCATTGTGTATCTGTTCCTCTCAAACCCTGCCGGTCGAAGCAGATGCCGCTTGTCCTGAGTCTGGTTCTGTTAAAGGTTTCTCCCTCATGAGGGAGTTTTTCCTTTCCACTGTCGCCTTCATGCTTGCTCAAAATGAGAGTGTGATGAAGTTAAACTCAAAGCAGTCTGCTCCTCAGATAAATAATGTTATTAACTTACTTTTTGTGTGCATGAATGTTTCTGTTCAGTGCCCCGAGATGACTTCTGTTGTGACTTAGCGTTATACAAATAAAATGAATTTAATTGAACTTAAATTCTACTGCAAAACAGTTTTGTTCCTTCTCGTCTCACGTTTACAGAACACATGCAGGTGAAAGTGTGGCTTCACCGTCAGCCTGTCAAGTGCCGTAAACTATCCTATAGCAGAGCTCAAGCTACAAAAGCAAAGATTTTCACTATACATTTTCAAAATATAAGAGTTCAGGAATGTTAAGGTTTCAGGTATAAGAAGTGTCTTTTACAGTCCTGCGTTATCAAATGTTAAATACGAACGTCAGAGTAAAATTCTTGGCTGCAACACGGTTCTGTCTGCTCTTTCTAACCTTATTCCCACATGAAAATGTGAGTCTTTAGGCCGAATGAAACATGGGCAGGAGATGCTTTGCAGGTGTTGTAGCTACAGTTACATCTCCCTTTCTAAAAAGAGAATTTATATTTCAGAAAGATGAGTCACCTAGTTAAAAAAGAGAGGCCTGGGGTTGAGATTGCCAGTAACACAAATAAAACACAGATACTTCGAAACAAGAGAGACAGAAACATAATTTTGTTTTTTTTTAAGGTTTAGAATTGCCCACAAAAATGATGAACAAAGGTGGCACTTTGTTTTTGCAGCATGATGGAGAAAAAGCCCCTGAAAGACAGGAGATAAAACCAATGTGCACACTGTGTACAGCTTTCTCTTTTTATTGCTTCTATCAGGAGCTGACTCGTGCATTATTGCCCCAGGAGTGCTCTTTGCAGACGTTAAACCAAATGTCAAACCCTTACAAGGAAAAAAAAACACCCAAAAACCTACTCCTTTTGAGTCTTTTAAAACAGTCCTCATCTGTGGCACATTTCTCATTTTAACATTAATTTTTAAGACCTTTCATTGTAACACCCCCTACCCCACTTTAGACAATAATAAGCTTTGCTGTCTGCTCTGTCATTCGCAGCACACGAGTTAAAAGCTGGCACCGTTGCTAGGGGATGTTGTAATGGAAACAATTGCTTTTGACTCCCACATTGGCATTAAAAGCCCAGTTTGACATAAACAAACAGAAATCTATTGAAAACCCATAATATAACAAAAACCCATAATAAAGCCCATAATATAACAAAACCCATAATAAAACCTATAATATAACAAAAACCCATAATATAACAAACCGTACGAACTAACAAACATGTCAACCGCATAATTAAGTAGGAAAAATAAATAGTTTGTGATGAATCAGTTAAATCTGAACCCTAACTTCAAAAGCATTTTGCATATACTGGTAAAGCTGTTTCTCTTTAGAAAATAATATATTATTTAAAACCAGTGTTAATAATTTAGTGAAAATAAAAATAAAAAACAGAAAAAAATGACATCAGTTATGCGGTGTGATAAAAACAAAAAAACAAACAAAAAAAACTGTGTGAAGTCAGAAAAATAAGCTATTTTTAATAGATCAAAAAAAGAAGTTGGAAATTAAAAACTACTCACTGGTCTTTCATGCTCCAAAATAGAAGACTTGCCAGGCTCATACTCAAAAATACTCTTAGGCTCTGCGCGATACTTTCGTGTGTCCACTTTCCTGTCTGGAGGACCCCATTCATTCCTGAAGGGGAAAACAAACAACACAAAAACTCCTTAGAAAATTACGGTACTTGTCTCACACACGCACGCACACACACACACACACTGTAAAACAATCGGTATGCTGATGTCCACAGTCACTGAGTGATTTGAATAGTGAATATTTGTAGTTGTTGAGATGAGTGTTTTTCTAGACTGCAATTTAACTGGGAATGCAAGTAGCTCTAAAAGATTTTAGTGCAAGTTATTCAAGTTGAGTAGGAGTTACAGTCTGAATAAAACAGTGAAACATGGTGGTGGTATCATGGTTTGGGCTTGTTTTGCTGCATCTGGGACAGAACAGCTTGCCATCATTGATGAAACAATGAATTCTGAATTATGTCAGATTATAGAATTAAATCAAATTATACAACCATATATATATATCAGAATCAGAATCAGAATCAGTTTATTATTGCCATGTCAATGAACGAGGTTCACAAAATAGAAATTTGCTTCGACATAAGGTGCGAATAGTAATAAAGTAAAATAAAGTAAAACTAAAGTAAAAATGAAGTAAAAATGAGAACATTACATAAGACCTGTGTACACCCACAAATAAAGTAAAATTAAAAACATAACATAACCATATGTACACCCATACAATAGAAAACAATAAAAAAGCATAGAAAACAGTACAGATGGAGTATTCAGTTATAATACAGATGTAATGTGACCAAAGCAGAAGTTATGAGGTAGCATTATGAGTGTTCAGGAGTCCAACAGCAGAGGGGAAGAAACTGTTCTTATGGCGGGAGGTTCTGGTCCGAATGGACCGAAGCCTCCTGCCTGAGGGGAGTGGTTCAAACAGTCTGTGTGCAGGGTGAGCAGGGTCAGCTGTGATCAGACCTGCTCGCCTCACAGTCCTGGAGACGTACAGGTCGTGGAGGGATGGAAGGCTGCAGCCGATAACCTTCTCAGCTGAGCGCACAACGCGCTGCAGTCTGAGTCTGTCCCTGGCAGTGGCCCCGGCGTACCACACCGTGATGGAGGAGCTGAGGATGGACTCAATGATGGCCGTGTAGAACTGCACCATCAGCTTGGCCGGCAGCTTGGCCTTCTTCAGCTGTCGCAGGAAGTACAGTCTCTGCTGGGCCTTCTTGATGAGGGAGCTGATGGTCAGCTCCCACTTGAGGTCCTGGGTGATGGTGGTGCCGAGGAACC